CCAAAGTGCAATTCCAAGACCGTTTCAACCGACGTCGGGCCCACCGAAAGTACGCGCCTCGGCGTCCTGACCCAAATTCGGGGCAATCGTCATCGGTTGCTACGCGGAGAGCCCGATTCGCGCTTTTTTCCCCCTTTCTTGGATTCGGAGACAACAGATGTGGCCCACTTGGGCCCCTCTCGGGTTACCACAAAGGACACCCACTTGCCCATCTACAGGGCCCGCGCGTCCGGGACGAGCGGCTCGACAACCTGCAATTCCGCGCGAAATTTATGCCCGTGATGTTTGGGCCTGATGTTTGCTCTCCGCAAATCTCTCCTCTCATCCGGGAATCAGATGGTCGGCTCTTTTCATCAAATGCTTCAGAATGGGGAAAATTTGAAGGGCGGTTTATGTGCCATCCGACTCAGATCTGACAGAGACTTGGCGAGTAACGATGAGCAAACCCGGTCTAAAATTAAATAAATAAATATATATGGTGAGGCCCTTTCCACAAGACCAAGACCAAGACCCATTTTGCTCATCACAATTAACAAGGTGGTTGGATCCACTTAAAGTAGGAAATTATTTGCGACCATGGTTGCGTGGCGTAAAAATGGCGCAAACGACCATGGCCTCTCCCCCAAAGTACAAAATTAGCTCTCTCGTCCCAGATTCAAGAAGTTAATGAACCGCTGCCACCGACCTCGGTTTCGGACAAGGGTGAGGCGTTTTCGGGCCCTTCCGCGGATTCGCGCCGGTTCCAAGTACTCCAGATGTGGTCCACTTGGGGCCCGAGATGGGCAACCGTAAGGCCCAATTTGCAGTAAGACCGTAAGACCGCGGAGTGACGAAACGTCCATCCTGGTGGCCGGAAACCGAGCAATTCGGGCCCAACCACGGACCGGTATTTCTGGGCCCTATACCTCGCGATTCCATTTCCCGGAAAGCGCGACACCTCCGGCTGTTCCGGTTCCTTGAGCACGGAAAGGTCACTCCGCAGGGCCCAGGATGAGACTCTGGCATAAAAAGGACCCCGGAAAGCCGACTCCTCCCCGAGGAGCCAAGCCCGGGACTTAAGGCCCATTGTCGCGGGCACGAATCGCCCCAGAAGGCCCGGGCCCGAATGGAGTCATCGATTATCGAGAGGATGGCGCAAACGTGGTCCGTTTGCTGTCACCCTGCTCACAAATGGGGCCCTAAACGAGTCCCCCATACACGTGGAGGCCCCCCGCAGGTTCGCGGTACAAACCGTCGCCCCCGCAGGACGTGGACGGAAAACGCAGGAAAATGGGGCCCGAAACCGCCGAGGACGCACAATGGGGCCTGGCAGATCTCTGATTCGCCCTGGAAAATCGGAAAGGAGTTCCGGACTGACTCTTCCTTGAATCCGCGACTGGGCGTCCTTCGGCAACAAAGAACTCCTTGCCCAGAGGTGCGCGCGCAGTCACGGCTCCAAAGACGTCCTGGGGACCCTGGAATGGCTGGGGAGGTCCCCGGGGGCCTTAGGAAGACGTCGCCCGTGACAAAAATATTTAACAACAGTCGCCATTGTCCTGGGACACGGAGGAAGCCTCCGGGATGAGTCGCTGGACCACGCTCTGCGGGGATCGGTGCACCATTTTGTAGGAGCATTGTTGGCTGGCGTGCGAAAACGATTCTTCGCCGACGTACAAGCACCAATCTGGATGGATCGTGTCATCTTGCACATACAGATGTTCTTAGAACGTTTTACAGAGGAGCTTTTGTAGTGTTTATGACGGTGGAGGTAAGGGAACATTGTCAGGATTCGTTATTCTATCCTGTGGAAAATTGTTGGATAACGACAAAAATGTTTCAAGGGCATCGTGCGAGGACCAATCTGGATGGATCGTGTCATCCTGCACATACAGATGTTCTTGGAACATTGTATAGAGGACCCATTACAGTGTTTATGACAGTGGAGGCCAGGGAACATTGTCAGGATTCGTTATTCTATCCTGTGGAAAATTGTTGGATGGCGTACAAAATCGTTTCATGGGTATCGTGCACTGCACATCATCCTGGAGATTTTTATTTAGATTTTCTAGTACCCATAGTAGCAGGATCCAGGAAACATCGCTGATACCGATAACCAAGATTCGTCACCGTCTTTACCAGCAGGATCTGCTCATCATTGGAGACCCGCCATGATTTGTCAGGTCCCTCGTGGCATTACAAAGACGTCGCCCGTGACAGAAATATTTAACAGCATTCCCCATTGTCCTGGAGCATGGAGACGACTTCCTAGATGGGATCCCTCCTGGACCCAAATTCCGTGCCCATTGTCCAGGGCCGTTCGCCAAACCGGAGATTCACCCCAGGACTGCACCCAGGGGAATCTATTGTCTTCCGCTTCCGAGTTTGCACATCACAGGGTGCCCCATGGTGTTTCTCTACGGGAACCTAGGGCTATCGGTGCACGGACTTGTTACGCGTTGTTTGTTGAACGTGTTCGACCTGGGGATTGAAATGCCACCCAGGATAGACAGATGTCCCCGTGGTTGGTGGCCGGGGCATTGTACGTCTCTTGCAGGACAAGCTTCGTCCAATTGGTCGAGAAGTTTCAACTTAACCGGTCTCCAGAAGGATGCTGACCCTGGTGGTCCTTTTTTCCCCTATGGCGAGAGATTGCAAAGTAGGCGTCATGTATTTGTCCCGAAACTCTGCCGAGTACCTTTATCCTTGAAATAGAAGTCAAGACATATCGAAGGGATCTTCATATGTTGGCGCTGGACATGGACCACCAGGAAAACGGATCACCAGGTTCACCGTTCCTGATTGGAAGGCCAGATCGAGTTGGCGTACCGCTGGGAGGGCTAGAAAGAGCTATGAAAACCTAAAGAGAGCTAAAAAGAGGTCCTTGCAAGACCTAAACCTCTCAAAAGCGGCTTTCCCTTCCCTTGAGGTCCTCTCTGCCGGAAGCGATGGGCGTCTAGGAGCGTCCCGACGACTTACTACCCGAATAATTGGGTCCTCCTATCGCTCGGGCGGACGCGTCGCTCATTCACGTGATTTATCGAGGCATGACGAGGTCCTTGGCACTTGGGCCCTGGTCCTTGAGATTTGGGCCTCTTTGCGCAGCCCAAGACTGCCCGAGTGGCTCCAAGAGCCCTGACACCAACCAGGAGGAGGTTTCCCTGCCGGCTGGATTATTTTAAGAGCGTCCAAGAGCCTTAACGCCTGATGATCCTGCGCCCAGGATAATGCAGAGGGGCCTGTTTTGCGCCTCGGCGTGACACCGGCCGATTTTCAAAGGGCACCGCCACTTACGGCCCGCCGGGAAATTACGAGGTCCTGCAGGAAGGTGCCGAAAGTGACACCATCCTGGCGAGACCTAACGAGATCCTTCGAAGGACCTCGCAGGTGACCGGGAATTACGCGGCCTGGTCGAGCTCAAAGGACCTGCGGCCCCCTCAATTTTCGTTAGGTGCGCATTTCCCTTGCGAAATTCACCGGAACGAATCCTCCAGGATTTCGCTCCTGGGGCGTTCGGAAAAAGTGCACCCTAAAACCAGATATCCTTAGAAAAAAAAATTCCGAAATCGATCGGCCGATATACGTCTGCTCATTTTACTAGTTTGTGATAAATACTAGAATCCTCGGTTTTCCAGGACAATCGGACAACTCCCGAGGTGATTTCCTTAATAAAGAAACCCTCCGGCGGTTCCGTTAGGTCGAGTCGGCACTTCTCAAAGCGGAGGACCCCACTTCCGGTTGGGATCCGTCGAAAACTCGAAAATTAGCGCGAAACCATTTCCTACACCAGCGGTGCCGGACTCGGAATCAAAAGGAGCCCGTAAATTGGGGCCGTTTCGCCGTTTCTATGGGGCCCTATGGGTCCGCGTAGGGTTTGTGGGCGGAGATGTGCCCCTGGCCATGAAAAGAGGATCCCAGATAGTCTATCCTTCGGGAATGGAATCGGAGCTAACTTGGCCGAACGGGAAGTGCGCAGGTGCGCTCCCCTCGCATCCCAAAGGGCGGATCTTGAAAGATCGTAAGAGAAAAAAGGAAATAAAGGAAGAATCGCGCGGAATCCTGAAGAGAATGACGAACCCCCCATTCGATGATCAGTGCCAAAAAAAATTTCCCCCATTAACTAACAAAAAAAAAAATTGCAAATAGCGAGCGAGGAAAAAATCGCAATTAGAAAGAGGGAGGAAAAAAAATACATTACTCAATTTAGGCAACGGTTAGGTAGAAATCTGCCGAGACTTCGACATTTCTTGGGAGATCCTTTCTTCGGGCGGTAGGGTTCTCTCCGGTAGAAAGGAAAATGTGTAGAGAAAACTTTTATATAGGGAGATAAAAAAAAAATGAAAACCTGGATGGCGCGCGATCGGTCTTCGGTAGTCGCCATACGCAAGAGGGCGGAAGGTGCTCTAAATGGGCCCTAAGGCCCATTGAGGGTCGTAAGAGCTTCTAATCCGGAGCTCTTGCACGATTTCGGGTCACCGATCGAGCAGCCAATGGACCGCTTTCTCTATAAAGGGAGCAGGGAAAAGAAAAGCACACAAAACGCAGGGAAATTCAGCGAGGCGTGAGACGCGTTCGAGCCTCTTAGGAGGCGATCCTTAAACAGTCCCAAACCTCGCAGTGGCTCCTTTTGCGAATCCCGATCCTGTATCCCGATTAGGCAGCGAGCCGGTCTTGTGGACCGATGGACTTAGCGAGAATCCCCCGGGAAAAATATTTTGGAAAAGGCGCGTTTCACGCATCGATGGTGAGATTTAACGAGGCGACGCGAAATAGACGACGCGGCCTTCCGGGTGAGAATAGCCGAGGGGTACCGCAGGGAGAGGAAGGAAAAAAAAGGGAATAAAAAAGAAAACAATATCGCCGAGAATCGACAATGGACAGATCGACCTGGGAGTAAAGAATTTTTAAGGACGATCCGAGCCAATCTTCGCCCCTGGTGAAACCCTCGCCTTGGACTACGAAAATTGTACGCATGTCATACGTCCATACGAATAGAATGGACTTCTTCGATAAAGAACAAGACTTACAGAATTCCCTCGGTTGGATAGGGACGATGTTGGATGGAGCTCCTGGACGACGCGATGATCCTTGATGGTGGAACCCCTGGAAATAAATGAAAATGGCTTTGATTCTTTTTTTCAAAGTTTCTGAGGGGGATATCGAAAAGGTGTGCGGAAAATGGCAGAGGGGAGATATAAAGGAAACAGCGAGCAATTAGGATCGGAGACGGGATTCAGGACCTCGGAGGTCCTTTTCCCGAGTCTGCGAATCGTCCTGCCTGCGTGTGGGGAGGAGGACGACGATTCTCTCTTTTTCTCCCATTAGGCGCAAGTTTACTCGAGGTGCTCGTCTCATCGCGGGAAGTGATGCTGCAGAAAATCCGGTCGATCGATCATCCTCGACTATTTGCGCGAGTTAGCCGTAAAAAGTATCCGCCCGTAATCGGCTTTCAGGTTAGGACGGCCACTTGGCCTCGATCGCCCCTTTCTTCGAGGACTTCGAGCCGCTAGCGTAATTCTAGTTATCTTCCGGTGGAGCGATGACTCCTGAGATCCCGATAAGAAAGAGAGAAAAAAATAAAAGGGGGAGTTGAAAAAACACCCGGAAGGGACTTCCACGTGATCCGCCACGTCGGGAGACGCGTGGAGCAGGGAAGAAAAAAAAAAACAAAGAAACAAATTCCACCAGAGCGATCCATCACGGCGTCTTTATTAGATACCAAGATGGCGTTTCACTCAGTTTGGCCGAGGTCGGTTCTCTCCCCAAATTCGAGCCACCTCGTTCGAGATCGATCCGAAAAAAGCCCAGAAGTACTTTAGGAGAGGTTCAATTTTCCGGGCCAATTTCCACGGCGGCGAGGCCGGCACTCGTCCCGGAGTACCGAACAGTGAGGTTAGGTCCGGAAAGAAGTAGAAAATTTCGCGGGGACTCGGTTCCAGATCGAAACCGATTTCCACGCGAGGTCTCCACGCGAATTTCCTAGAGAAAGCCTCGCGGATTCTCCACGGTGGCGGTTTTCTGTGTGGCCGTTCGGCACCCCCCCTCGGCCGCCATTGTGCACCCTCTCAAGGTGTTCGCGGCGTATAATATTCGAGAAATCCCCGGGACATCGGGGATTCTTACATATAGATCCCCGATCCCCCGAAAGCGACTTGGAATCGCGTCACGGCGAATTTTCCGGGAGCTCTCCTTTTTCTCGCCGCTTTTGGGACCACCCGTTCCGCCGCGTTAAGGCCGCATCTGGGCCCTAGGGCGCGGCCGCACCCCATTGACACCAGAGAAATCCCCCGCAAAACCGGCGATCCCTCTACTTGTCCTCTTTTCCGCGTCTCCTTTGCCGAGGCCGAGTCGGCGCTTCTTTTACGAGATGTATATTCAGGGAGGAGAGAAAGACTTTGGGCCCAGAAGTTCAGAGGCGGTGAGGCCCCATTGTCGAGTCGCTTTGCACCTCGGAGCCGCCCTTAATATTCCGTGACGACCGATTCTCTCGTACTCCTGATCTTCCACCCCCGGACGCCCCGATCCACCCCCGACTCTTTGTGGAATTGCGCATTATCTCTAACAAGCGGCTTTTGGGCCCGATTTTCGAAAAGCAGGCCCCCACCGAGTCCACACTCCGAGATTACCTCACGGCAGTGGAAACTCCCAAAATCGTGAAATCGTGCCAAGAGTCTCTCCCCAGGAAAGGACCACGTCGAATTTTGGGCCCGCTCGAGTAGTTTCCATGTCATTTTCGTCGCGCCTCCTCAAATCGGGCCCCAAAATTCGTGGTACCCGTTCCCATGCTTGACATTTGGCAAAGTACTAGAAAAGTGGAAAAATCCGCTGCGAGAATTAAGGGAGGGAATCGAAATTTCTCGACCAATGGTGGACGGGTCCGTAAATGAGGCCCAAAATTCGACGGACGCCACGAAATCGCCTTATAATGACACAGGGCCCGAGTCCCCGCTAGAAATGCCGGTAATTTTCAGGAAGCCCCGGCGAAATCATTAGACCTAAGGATTCTAAGGATCATAGAGCGAGGTTAGGAACGGGCCCCTTTTTTTCCGCTTCCTTTCTAGGGACCCCGTAAGACGTGGGTCCTGCGTGAAGTTGATGGGGCACTTGTTACGCCAGTGGATGCACGTGTTCTAATGGTTATCGGGGGGACCGAGAGGCCCGAGAGGCCAAAAAAGGCCCAAAAAAGGCGCGGGGCCCGTTGGCCCGGGGATAGGGATACAAAAACCGAAATGGACGTCTCTAGGAAGAGATTTGGGCCCGCTCTTCGAGCCGGGGGGAAGCATAGGAGATAGGCGAGATGGATAATGAGGCCCCGAGTCGCAGGGCCGCATCTCATCTCCCGGAAGAAGGACCCAATCGCTTCGGCGAATTTTGAGCCTGAATTCATCCTAAGGATTAAATTTCGCCCAGGTTCTGGAAAATCGTCAGAGACCGGAAAATTCGGGATTTTTCATCGGGGCCTAATCGAGGCCCCGTTTAAAAGACCCTCTTAAAATGGCCGCGATAATTTCCTCGCCCTCCTGGGGCCTTTTCCGCCATAAATCAGGAACAATCGAAGAAAAAGAGCCATCGCTCGGATTTAACTTGAACATTTCCGCATTTCCGACGATCCATCCAAGGATTTCGGAGGATTATAGACGGCGAATGGGATCGAAGGATCTCGTGATCGTGACTAAGGCCCCGCGGGGTGCCTCCCTGAGGCATATCTGACTCGTTGATGGCCGAGATGGCCCCACCAGGCCCAGTCGGGCTTGCACGTGTTCGATTTCCATCCTCGGGACAGGACCCGATCCCGTGTCCTGGCTGCCGGACCTTCGGGCCCTTTTTTGGGCCCTTTCTGGGGCTCGGGCCCCGCCCACGGAGGACGAGATCGAAAACCGAGAAAGGAAGAAAGGGGGTCGTCGTCTCCTCTTCCCGGCGAGTAAGGACCTTAAAAATGGCCCGATATATCGCGACACCCGGACGGACATCCAGGGTGCTTTATTGTCGGGCTTTGTGTAGCCACCGGTGGACGGTGTCCTGCGGGACCGGGAGATATCCTTTGTCGAACGGGAAGTCGGCCCCGCCGCTCCTGAAGATCCTGGCGACTCTCCAGGACCCGGAAGGACTGGACCCGCCACTTTCCCGGATATCAATGCGCGCCCATCCCGAGGGATGACTCGGGCGTTTCGTGGACACTACTAAAGAGGAAGGCGTGTATCCCTAAGGACTAAAATTACCTACACTATTCCCCCCATACATTTCGCAAAATCTTCAAATTCGGATGGAAAAATCAGGGCCCGATTTTCCCTACTTCGAGTCGGGCCCCGAAAAATGCCCTCCAAGTTGCTGAGGAAAAAAAGGAAAAAAAAATGAAATGAAATCTCGAAAAGACCGCCCCATAATTCTCCCTCGACTTTTTCCCGCAGAGGGAAGTGGCGGACAAGAGATGGTCCTGGAAAAGGACCTCGGGCCCAAGGAACGGACAGGATACCGCGATGACACGGTCCGGCTAATCCGCGGGCCGAATCGCGGATCCCGAGGGTGCCCCATGTCCTGGAGTCCCGAGGAAAAAGGAGGAATCGAGAAGAATCGGGAGGAAGGAAATGTATAATTTATAACTCTAATCCTTTAAGAATGGCCCCTGACCCGAGGGTCCTGGGGATGAAAGGGCCCCGGAGGATTTTTTTAACGGGCCCCGCGGCCTTTCTTCCTCCTGCAAGGATACTGGACGAATGAATCCAGAATCGATCGGCCGGCCGGGTAAAATCCCCGAAACTGAAAGAAGGAGAAACCGTTCCCGTGTTTACATAGGTGCAGGCACCCCCGTTAAAAAGGACCCCACAGGACCGGCGACTGTTTGCTTAGGTCCATTATGGAATTTCCTCCCCGAGGAAACGGATCCTTCCAGGACCCTCCGGAGGAGACGAGCGGTCCATCCGAGCAAGATGAATCCTCGAGGCCGGAAAAAAGGCGCTCGAGACGCGAAAGGAGTCCTCGACGAGGTTTGCCCAGGAACGCCGTCGGTCCTCCTGATATTTGATATTGGGATCCCAGGATATCGAGATCGAGTGTTGACTCGAGGTTTAGGGACTTAGATTATCGACGTATGAAGACCTCGAATTGGCCCTTCTGGTCTCCGGACCTAAAACCAAGCAAATAAGGACTCTCTTCAAGATCGATCCTGATCGAAGGATCGGATAATAGTGTTGTGGGCGTCGCATCAGAAGGAGAACATCCAGGATTTAATGGATTTCAAGGACAGGACTCGAGAGAAAAATCCAAAGTCGAAGGTTCAGGTTCACGTGGGTCCTGAAAATTCTTCTGGATGATGTTTGACGTTGGGATGTCAGGACTCCAGATTTAAGGACCCGATATAGCCGAACTGGACTCGAGGTCAGCTTCTGATCATAGGAGAGGTCCTTGGAATTTCTCGATAGAACATTCCACCGGCATCTTCAGAGGATCCGATTTTTGTCTGGCATAAAATTGGAGGGACCTCGGGGCGGAAGTCTCTTCCGGAGCGGAAGCTCCTTAACGCGATTTCCGCGCGGAAAAATTCCGCTCGGGAGATGGAAACGTGCCTCGGCATACCCGGTGCGAGTTAGAACTCGTCCTGTCGGCCATCTTTCTTCCTTTTCATATCCTTTTTTTCTCCTCGTGCCGAATCGAGGCCTCCTCACAGGTACAGACACCCCCACGACCCTGCAGGATCGATCCCTTTATCCCGGACGGTTTGGGACCGAAGCGAACAAGGTGCATTACGCCCCGTGAGTTACGTAAATGGAAACAAGTCCGAACGTGTCTAGGGCCCAAAATGCAGCGAGTCTGAAGAGCCATTTTTGTGCCCTCGAAGGTAGCTTTGCATTTTCAAAGGAAGCCAAGGATCCTTGGAAAATAAATAGAGGTTAGCGGAAACTTTTCCTCGGATTCACTCGAGTGAATATTATTACGGGGAAACCGAGAAACGAGGATCGAGTTTTCCTGGGGAGGGAAATTTATAGGGAATTTATATTGGGGGATGATTACCAAATTCCAGGACTCCAAAGGATCTAACGGGGCAACTGGCTACAGAGACGTCCCTAACCCTTTGATCCGTTAACCCAGAATCCTCGCCCCAACACCGGTATCGCCCCTGTGAAAGGGTAGAGCTCCCGGGGCCCATAAAGCGGACAATACCGAAAGGGTTGGACCCAAAATGCACCTGTAAAAGGGTTAAGTCCCGAGCCGCAACGGCACCTCCTCGGCCTTTCAGGAAACCTCACCCGCGACAAGTGTGGTCTACTTTTGGGCCTTACCGCGATCGTCGGGATTTTTTAATAACCACCCTCCAGAGAATTCCCCCGTCTACTCTACTAAAATAACATTCAGAAGCACTCGTGTACCAAGGAAAAGGAAATTCAAAGCGGAAATTTTTCAAAAACGATAATTTTCTGCCTGGCCCAGAAATACGGGGCCCTTTGAGCCCGAAGCCTTCCGCAGCTGTGGATTTTTCAAGCGTTCCGTGGCGTTTCGAGGGTGCAATTCGACAGGAGGAAATCAAGGTGCAACCTGAAAAGCAACCCTTGATAGCCAAGGCGAAGGTGGTCCCACTTTCGTGTCGATTGTCCGGGGCCCGAATTCCGCTCGATGGATCGAAACATCCCTCGGATGGACCTCGCCCCTTTCGATTGCGTCCCCAGAAAGGGCCTTTGTGCCCGGTTGACCCTTTTCACCTGAGCTTCACCGGTTCAGGCCCATCGCAACCCGTAAGGCCCCGACCTGCAGGGCCCAGAGGGTAGACTCGGGGGAGAGCCGATGCGTATGTGAATATACGGTGAATATACAGTATAGGAAGGGAAAGAACCCTCCCATTGACCGGGGCCCGAATAAGATATGCATCTCCGGGCCTGAATAGGGCCCGAAACTGGGGAAATTCCAGGGAAGATTTTCGTGATTTTGAATAATATTGCATCCCCCTTTCGGTGGTCGAGCGAGAGAAAGGGCCGAAAGGGCCTGTTCAATGGCGGCCGACCCCTTTTGTGCCGTGTCGATAATCTCCGGACTGGGCCCGGACAAAGGCCCCGTGGGTCCGGCCTGGACCCACCCGACGCATAAAGGATTCGTCCATTCCAACGGGGGGAGGGAAACGTCGCGGGAGAAAAATCCCCAAAGCCAGAACGACCGGTATAAAAAAAAAAAAAAAGGAGTGAGAAGGACGCGATAAATCGGGGAGTAAGGCCCAAAATAAAAAAGGGGGGGCGAAACGAATCGCGGCACCTGGCGACTCGCTCGTCACTCGCGGCGACGCCAGAAATCATCGGAAACTAATTGGCGCAATCGCTTTCACCCGATTGGGCCCGGGCCCAATCGAGGGTCGATGACAACGAGGATTGATGATTCCACAATTATTATCCTGCGACCCATCCTTCACCCGACCATGATCCTCGCAATCACGTATTCTCCCTTCTTCGCCAATCAGCGTTCAATTTTATTAACAGTACTCTCTCCGAAGGGGCCCGCCACTTTCCTCCCCCACGTAAGGCCCCAGGCCTCGGTTAAAAAATAAAAAGGGAGTGATCGAAATAGAAGAGAAGGAGCGTTTAATGAGCGTAAAAAGGGTACAATAGAACCGAAACCTTCGAACTATAAATTCACCCCCTCGCGTCCGGCCTTCGGGGTGGGAGGGAGGGGGGGGGCTGGGTCCGAGGGGCCCAAATTATGAAGATCCCAATCTCGGATCCCGTGCCTCGCCTGCCGAAGACTATTACGAACGCCGTAAGGTGAGAAACAAGATAAAAGGGAAGGAATCAAGATGAAGATGATACACGGTAGTCGGTATCCTATTTCGGGGGCCGAGGACTTCAATTTCTGGGCCCCCCGAGCCGGGCCCCGCCTCGCCCGATTTCTCGGCGAAACACCGGAAAACGGAGACGGTCCCAAAAAACCGAGGGGAAAAAAAATGCCTAAAAAGGGAAAAACTTGATTTTTAATGAGACGCAAATTTGCGAGCGTAATATGCAGGGGGACTGATCAGCGCTCGATATCGCGGCGGATCTCCTCGGATAGGACCCTATCAGATCGGGGACCTCATCAGGGAGTCGTCAGCCAGGAGGGGCCTTTTGGGGGGAAATCACCTAATCTCCGATAAATCCCCGCCAGGGCCGATTAGAGGACGGGCTCGTTCGTAGCGAGAGCGTAACTGAATCCCCCGGTGGCGGGTATCTCGATCTCGAAATCAGCGATTACACGCGCGAGAGGGGCCCGAGGAGGGCGAGGGGGGCAAAAGAGGGCAAAAGAGGGCAAGGGGTAGGGAGCGAAAGAGAGTAGACAAAGAGCAAGGACGAGGAAAAAGAGAAGGCGAGATATCGCGCAGGTTGCACCTGCCGGTGACGTCAGAGGAAGGGACTTCTTGTTTGGAGGTGCGCGAGCAGGCCCCGGGGGTCACCACTACTGTTTTACGTCCTTTATGTCGGCTTGCTCTTTTCCCTCGTTTCTCAGGCCGTCTCTCTCGGTCCTTGCGCGAGCGCGGTAGCGGCGTCTCTCTCCATCGGGGCCTCACGGGGCCCTACGGGCCCCAGCGCGGCGTCTCCCTCTTTCGCGCGCGGCCCTTAGCTTTGGGCTTCTGTTGCGCTGCATATTATTTATATGCTAATGAAAGCCCGGCTCATGGCGAGTGCAAAGGAAGGGAAAGAACCGAGAGACGAAGGGGACCGGGATTAACGAGAGGGCTCGGGACTTCTTCGGGCCCCGATCGACTCGTGCCCCTCGATGCTCCGAAAAAGTCCTTCGAAAATTCAGAAAAACGCATTTTCGGCCTTACAAGGACACTCGATGTCGTCGGGGCCCCTGTAGGGGTGCCCTCGAGGAGGCCGCAGGTTGCAGGGCCGCGCACTCGACGAGTACCGGTACTCACCTGCGACTTGGGACCTGCGGGAAGACAAATACCGAGGAATACCTGCGAAGCGTCCCTAGGGATGCGAAATCCTCCGGGAACAGGGCACGTCCGTTTCGGTTTTGGTTTACCCGGGATTTAACGGCCCCTGGCAGGTTCACCCCCTGTCTGCGTGCTCAGGTGTACGGGCCCCCTGAAATCCCGCCACACTCCCCCCGTCTCCCATAAAAACCGAAAATTCATGGAAGGAGCACCCCTTAATGGGGTGCGACTTTTTCCCTATTTAATTAGCACCGAAGCCAAGTAGGAACTCCGACGGATGGAATTACCGAACGACTCGTACAGCAGGTACCGCATTTCAGGGATGGTAAATCACCTAGGGGGGCGCGCCCCAGGGGAGGGTAAGCCATCCGGGGTTCAAGCTCCCCCTGAGTGACGGGAGCCCCCTCGGCAGGCCATCAGGTGCGCGCTCAGGTGCACGCCTCGATAGGCGGCGAGACTCCGACCAGTCGTACAGGTTGTAACACCCCGGACCGATTTTAGACGTTATTAAAAAAATCTCAAGATCCAAGAGAAGGAGTGACACCTCTCGCGAGATATCAAGGTGGAGATCTCGCGAGGGGCACCCTCGGGCCTCCCCTCCAGGACGCGGTCGCCTTCCTTCGAGCGGAGGGAAAAAAAGAAGAGGAGCGGACAAATTTAACGCGAAGACGTAAGGGGCCCCCGGTCCTTTTTAAGGACCCGAAGAAGCCGGTTAGAGCGAGTTCGGACCGGTCCGAACTCGTCGGATCATCCCCCTGTAAGATCCCTCTCGGGTCCATCCCGAGGAAAGCAGGAAAGAGCCCGGGAAACCGGAGAGTCCCCCCGTCCCCCTCGGCGCATAATGCAGGGGCGGCGCAGGGTGGCGCAGGACCGGCGGGGGTGTCCCGGCTCGGATGGGTTAGGGTCAGGTTAGGGTGTGCGTCGGAGAGGAGACCGGCAGATGGTCGGCGCGGCCCCCGTGGACGTGGGAAGCTCCGAATTCCCCGAGTTCCCACAGGCCGGGCTGCACCTGCCTCCCCCACCATCTAACCCCACGGGAAGAGCGCGGGGGCAAGTATATAAGGCTCCAGGGTTGCAGGTCGGAGGAACCATTCGCTGCTAAAGCGTTGCAGGCCCACAAGCGTTTCTCGCCCAGTTTCACCTCGCTCTGTTAGCCCGGATTTGCGCGGCAAGATAAAGAGAGAGGGAGTACACATCGAGTACCCCGTCAAGTCGAAGTACGACAAGTACAAGTTCGACGAGTTCGACGAGTTTGACGAGTTCGTCGGCAGGCCGGTCCGGTCACAGCTTCTCCGAGTATCTCCAGAGAAGAGTCTCGATAACCAAGATGGCTGCCCCCACGAGCCACGTGTTCGAGCTGGAGAACGAGCTCAACGACAACCTGTACAACCTGAAGATGGGAGGCGACCGCAAGGCAGCCTCGAGGAGGGTCCGCAGGATCCTGAAGCCCCTTCTGCGACTGCTGAAGAAGAGCTCCTGCAGGCAGTCCAAGAAAGCGCAGCGCGCGGAGCCCCAGGCCGAGGTGTTCGCCGAGCCGGAGGTCGACAACCAGAACAACTGCAACGAGCAGCTGGAACGTCGACTCCTGGAGGACCTGAGGAACGCCGAGGAGGGCGCAGCCATCACCGTCTGCCTGGATGGGCAGATGACAGTGGTCCCGGTGGTCCCGGGCCAATGCTACGTGCCCGTCCACTTCGCCCACACCCACGCCGGGGACTTCTACTGGACGACGCTGGCCTTGAGCGACGCGGACCTCTGCTACAAGGAGAGGGCCTTTTCTCAGCACCAGCTGCCCGAGATGCAGGTAGCTTGACGCGTCCCGGAGGTCCAGGACGTCGTCTACCTCGCTCCTCCTCCCAGGCATCATTTTGGAGCCATCCAAGGAGTTCCTATCGACGCCACCAGGAGGCCCCAGGAGGGGTCCTCCTCCCGGCAGACTGTAATTTAGCTAGCTTTAGGGACTTGAAAGACTTTCTCGAAACTGTGATCCTTAGAGTATACGAAGGAGCTGTCGCGTCTTGACAGCGCGCGAAGCCGCGTGGTCGCGCGACCACGTGGTCACCTGTTGCGCTCGGCGCGCATGCGCCGCGGTAATAAACGACACTGACCGATCATTGTGATATCGCGCGGATTAGGATAAGCCCATTCCTCGATTAGCTTGTAAGTACTATGTGATAACGGCTTTAACAGCGGCCGCGATTCCTCGGCCGCCAGGCACATGTCTTCCAATGTTGAATAAATGTTACTTGACCAGAATTTTCTCAGTTTCTCGAAGTCACCCTTCTCCCTCGACATAAGATAGAGTTAAGTATAGAGATGGCGAAGGGATCTCCAGGTTCCTAGATACGAATTTACCCTTGGCCTAGTGGACCACTGGAGATCCAGGCCTCGAAGTAGCAGGTAGTCCTTGGTAATGGAAATTCACGGATGGCACCGAGGACACCTGCGCCTTCGAGAAATTGCATTCGGATTCCTGGGCGTGTTTCGGGTGGCAAGAAAAAGCAGGGCCCTTAAGAAGGGTCTATTCGAGGAGTCAGAAATGGCCGGCATCCCTCTTCCTCGGCCCCCCATTTAGAGGCGCCCCTCTGGGGGCCTTTTTCAGGGCCCCCAAAAGAAGGGACCAAATTCCTGGTTTCCTTTCGAGCTCCTATTTCACCTAACCTAAGGTCGGCAGGTCTCTGGTGGTCGGTCGACGTCTCTCCCTTGCCCCTTGAAGACCTCGAAGATATTCCTTCCACCCCGAAACTCGAATTTAAAATAAATCGGGAAAATATACGAGCCCCATGGCGGACCCATGGGATCATGGGAATCGGACGGGACGTCTAAACCATCCCAGGATGCGATCCTAGGAGCGATTCGTCCATATGCGTCCATTTGGACACATGTTCACAAGGTGCATGCGAGTTCGCCTGACTTTCCGCGTCCGCAGGGGTTGATCCACCCCTGCGTGATGCGTGTACAATGGTGAACGAGGTGCAGATAATAATGGAATTAAGTAGCCCAGAAAGGGGGATAAGGGAAGGGGAGGGTGGTGAATATTCGAAAGGCCTCCCCTATGGGGTAACCCAGTCGATGAGACGCGGCTCCCTTTATTTTTCCGGCAAATCGAACACGCGTCCTCCCTCCATTTATATATTTTTTTTTCTCACCCATCACATCGAAGAGCAGCATCCCGGTTCTGCTAGTTTCCTTCTTTGGGTTTAAATCGTCCCCTAAAATCGAGAAATAAAACGGGAGCGGGCAGAATGATTGCGATCACCGAGGGAGACAGGCGTGATGATCGAGGACCGCGCAATTCGGGGGGGCATTAAAAAGGATCATTCCGGACAGTAACGAGTCCGATCGGGCCGATATTGATTCATTATTTCGGGTGCCCGCCGACTTTCGGAATCCTTAATGGAGGTACGCAAATTGACGCCGCTCGTAATTCCCTCCGCGAGCGAGCACTCTCGGTTGATTACAGTCATCAAACTGTCCGACGCGGGAGTTTCCATCCACTCGTCACTTATTCTCGAATTTATGTCGTCGCTGCTGTTCCCGCTCATTCGGGAATTTACGCCGACGGATAATCTCGGGGAAAAACGAGCCATCACGACGAGTGACACGGCCTGCGCCACTTTTCCCCCGAGTTCCACCTTCGCTTCCCGAGGCTCGAGAGAAAAGCCCGAGCACCTCTCGGAGGATAACCAAATTTTCAAATTAAGATGCTCAATTCGCGTGTGGAGGAGGGCAGAACGCGGGAAATTACTCTACCGCGAGATAATTTAACGAAAACGGGCGAAGGAGAAAAAGGAAAGGAAAGCACAGGCAGACTAGCAAAGTGGAACTCGGCGCGAAGAGGCGCGCTTCGCGCTCACCTCGTTAGCTCTAACAAGCCTAACCTCAACTATCTCTAATCTCGGCAGAGGTTTATTTTTGAGGTTTATTTTTGAGACACGATTGTTGAGTGGCGGCCCGTCGAATTTTTCCAATTTTTCGGATATTTCGAATTTTTCCAATTTTTTTAATTCGGCCATCGGCGAGATACGCGCGTGTCGAGTGTTCACGGTAAATGGACGACGTGACGAGCCGAGGTATTCCCGCGGTAACCGCTACGCCTCGGAGATATCTCGGAAAAAAGCGCGCGAGGAGTTTCGCACCTGCGGGAGAATAAGACGAAATCCCCCGCGGAATGGGGGGAGAAAAAAAGAAAAAAACGAGGAAGCGTAGCCCGCGGGAAGGGAACGGAGGGAAATGCCAATTTCGAAACGCGCACTCGACTCTGCGTGGGAAAGAAAAGGAGCAAACCGGGATGTACAAGAAAGTACGGGAAAGTAGGCTGACCAAGGCGCTCCCTACGTCGTCGTTTTGTCGTATCTTTACCCCGCGAGATACCGAATCGGAATAATTTCCTTTCCCCTCTCTGGTTGCGTCCCCGAGAGATGGAGACCGAATTTACCCGGGCAAACATATCAACAAGAGAGTGAGACGGAGAAAGAAAAAAAAAATAGAATTCCCGTCCCCATTTTCGAAAAAACGAAGAGAAAAAAAAAGTTGAAAAAATTGCGTTCCAAAGATAACCTCAAAAAGTCTCGTCGTCGTCTCCGTCTATACGTCACCACGTGGCCCGATGATCTCCCGCACTTCTTTCTTCGAAATGAGATGAGCTGACCGAAACAAATATACATTGTCGGTATTTGTACACATATATATCGCGAAAAATAATTATTTCGTTGGGAAGAAAAATTGATATCGACATGAAATAATTTCGTTAACTCGATCAGACATTTTCTCGGAGGTATTTTCTTATCATTATAAGATAATTCGTTTAAGGCTACTTTGAACAACATTAATGATAAATGAAATTTCCCGAGTTTCAGGACCGACCTCAGGGTCCTCTCATTCACGTGGTGAAACTTTAAAGAAGCTGATACACCCGAATCAGGGAGAAGTCTCACAAACGACCGACCCCTAAGACACATAGCCCTTAACCATTACTTCTCTGTGCGGTGCATGAAATGGGCGCCTAAGAATTGCTCCCTCGATCCGACATATTTTTTTCTTAATTTTTTGCGGAAGTTTATCCTAGCGATGCATATCTCTCCGAGTGTAGGAAATAATGCCGTTCCCACGGCCTCGTTGTCAAAGCAAAGGATGGATGCAATTCGGGGCGCGCTATCACCCTCTCTCTCGTGTAGATAAGAGGAGCGAGGCGATGTCCGTCACCTCTGACAAGTCCCACGGGTGATACGTGGTATCGCGATTCCGGCCGCTCGTAAAAGCTCTAACCGGAGATAAGAGCGAGCGAGTACACGAGTTACTCGCAAGTACGAGAGCACGAGCGAGGGTACAAGTGGCAAGAACGAGTAGCGACGGGCAAAGAAGGAGAAGCCGGCTCGTGGTCGGCGCTCCATTACTAGCCGTTCGCTCGTACCTCGCTACGTGCTCGTGCCCAACACGCGCCGAGCGATTCGCAAGCGAGTCGCGAGCCAAGCTCGAGCTCGGTCGGAGCCGAGCCGAGCCGAGTCGAGTCGGGCTCGGAATGCGCCAACACGCGCGAGCCGCGGACACGTACTCGCACTGGCGAGTAATGCCGCTCGAGGGGGTTTATAGGTTATGTAAGGTAGCGGAGTACCTCGTGCGAGAGGCCTGCACACGACAAGGAATGATATTCCCGGGGCATATCGTAAGAATCAGCCGACCCAACTCATAGGATGAGCATAGCACCGAGTACGAGTCGCATATCCATTGACATGTCTATATTTCAATTTCCATGGTTATGTCGGAAAAAACAAAAACAAAAAAGAAAGAGAGAAAAGAACGTCAAAAGCGTCAGATGTCAGCGCTAAGAAGGGCGCGCGGCACTTGGCGCGAGACGCAACCGCGAGGGGATCTATACGACAAGGATGCATCTGACAGGAGTGGAGGAATTAAGAATCCGTTCTGTTAAGTACCACGAGGGGTAGGATATAAATGTTAACGGGTTGAAAAGTCAAGTGGGAGGTGAGGAAGGTTTTGACGTCCCTCAGGATGCGATCGTTAGACCCCGGGCGAAGATGTGGCGGTTTTAATTATTTCCTCGCGCGGTTGAAATCCCGGTTTTTCGTCGCCTTCGAGGGAGGATGCACGTGGTATCGGTGCAAGGGGTAGCTTGGTCAGCACCTTCCGGGATTGGATATTCCCTTGGGAAAACCACCTCCTGGCGTCGCATTCCCCCCCTGTCCCTTCGGCAGCCGACCGACACGCCTCGGCGGTATGTAAAGTAGCCAGTGCCGCGAAAGGGCCGAAGATTACGCGACATAGGGATCCGGATTCCCCCGAAATTCGTGAGTCGCCGTAATTTACACGGGGACGCTCCCCCGCGGCCCGTAAATAATCCCCCGCGACCCGGCCCGACGACGTGGCCGCCATTACGGGTATTAATTGCGCGGCCCGGAGGAGAGGACTTTCCAGGAGGCCCCCGGGCCATCTCCTCTCAAACCCTGCCATTACGGGCGACACCGGACCCGAGGACGTTTTACGACCGTCAATCGGGATACTCGCGCGAATCTCCCACTGACATCCAGCCTCTTTGCGGCGACTCGCTAAAATGGCCGGGCTGGACCACCAACGACCAGGATCTTCGCCAGGACTTTCGGACCTCGACGAGCACTCCCGTTGATTCTCGAATTACCATCAAACCCCAAACGCCCCAAAAATTAAGGAAAGGATTAAGTAATGAAAATAATCCTGCCGAATCTCCAAGCATTTTTTTAATCAAAAGCAGAGCGTGATTTCATAGTACAATTATTAAACTTAATATATCATTGTCTTTTTGTCAAGATATATTTAAAC